ATGGTTTATTTTATTCAAGTTATAACATCTCATTAAGAGAAATTGGATAACTGACTTATTCTTCACTTGCCTACTACATTTTTGCATAAGATATTCTGTTATTCATAAAGCAGAACTGAATGAGGTTAGTTAAATCCTGAGTTTCAATGAAATTCAGAACACTCCGCAGTTAGCAAAGTGATTACAAATGATTTAAATATTTGCGTATGACTTATTATCAAACTATGCAGCCTTCCTCATGCTTAGATCTTCTTCTAACTGAACTAGCTTGGAACCTATTTCTTAAACAGTCAGTATGACAATTATTATAGAAATTGGAAGCGTCTTTTTAATCCATACGATGATATAAATTCAGCTTGTTGTGAGACCGTATCATCTCAGAAAACAGAAACAAACTCTCATCATCACCAATCCTATCAATCCTGAGTAATATTCTCTGTCATCTAAGTGTCTTTGTTAAATATACTATAACTTTGTCGTTTTAGCTCATTATGAACAATCTGGAGTTTTTTTATAGCACATTATTTAGTTCTTTTTAGTAATATAATCAAATGTTTTTAGGTTTCAAACAGTTGATTATAAACCGGCAAAATAAAAATGGTACCATGTTATTCTACTTCAGTCGTTGTTCTTTTTTTTCAATTCATAAATGGTATATATGTATGGAACATTTTATTCCGTTAGCGCATTTCAGTCATTTCTGGATAGATATGTTGGTAGTTGAATGATCCCACTTGTATTCAAATAATGGAAGGAAAGTTGTGTTACTGTTTGCATTAACCCATCATGGATTAAACTGAACTGATAGATGTCTATTTGCATGTCGGCTGCTGCTGAGATGCCTAGTCAGCTGGACCGTCCTGACTCCCTGTGAGTGATATTGTTCTCGTTAAGATTCGAACTCTAGGACCGATTGCTTCAAACGACAGAGCGTTGTTCACTAGACCACTGCTAATTGAAAATTGAAAAGAAGAACTGAAATACTGAAAGATGTTTTTAGCTGCAGGTACCAATTTTTGGCACAAACTATCTTTCTTCAGCTGGAATTAGCATATAAAGATGTTGAAATAGGCTTCGCTTACACTACTTTGACCTTAGTCGCAAAATATTTAGAATGCAGATAGAAACTCTTGATAAATTTCATCACATCACAATTAACCTTTCTATTTTATCAAAAAGTGGATGCATGTAGGGGACTAACCGAACACAAAACATTATGATATTCAATTGGTTTCATAACTTTGCGTACGGTGACCGGTTTGTATATACCTGCAATTGAAAAACCATTTGCCTGATCGGTAATACAGACGGTGAGCGATGTAATGCCAGAAAATCCGAGTTGGCAGGGCAGTTGAATTAGCAACCACCTATATCAGTCAGCTAAGTTACAACAATGTAATCCAATTTTGGGATTTGTAGAGATTTTATTGTTTTCAAGCTGGTACTCACCATAGACTGACATAATCTGGAGAACCAATGAAAATCCCTGAGCTATGCAGGCCTGTTTTGTCCTAGTTTGGGACCTCTTAGTGCTAAGTAACCGTGATACCAAGGGGACTATCATCAGTTTTCATAGCTAGAACTTTGCCATCCATACACTTGGTTGAAATCCAATAGTTCACAACTTCCTACTCATGTGAATTTGTTTTGCAGCAAGAGAGTGATCCAATGCTATTGACGGGTATTTGTCTTCACGTGTAACTTGGCTAACCCTATAGAGCAGGGTAACTCATTAGAACTACTGTAAATCCATCTTCAAGCCCGACACTAATGAGTACTCTACTGTAAGTTCGTAGCTAATACTACTATGAAAATACTGTTTCCAGTCAAAGGTTATGTTTAGCAGTGTCATTCCTGGAAATTTTACGTGATTCACACACAACTTATGGTAAAAACAGAGTTTTGAAGGAATGTTTTAGGCTTTTTAAATGACAGTGTGCTTGAATTCCTTGCTGATCAACAATAACGTTTATACTCCCACTTATACAAGAATAGTCTGGCTTTCATTTTATTGGGAATGACTACAGTTAAGTGGCGGAAATCAAGAAAAAACAAAACATAAATGTCCCTAGTTTTTGATAAAGTTAGAAAGTTAAGTTTCACTTTGAATTACTGTGTAGCCAGATAATGCAGATAAACACCATTACAAAGTGAAAACTTCCAATGAATACATTTGCTCTAAGGGCCTTTTAACCCCCTCATGCATAGTTTTAACTTCCGGTGTAAATGGCAGATTATAAGGCCGAAGACAGACAGTTAATTGATCAAACCAGTCTTTTTGCTTACCTATAGACAGTTTTACGTGCATCTTATTGGTGTTGTTGGAGGAGTTAATCAAATAAATTTTACCTTTTTCCGCCTGTTTCCCTCTGATATCGAAATTTTGAGTTATTTGGCTTAATGCTGTGTACTAAATAGATATAGGTTGACCAGTACTTTGAATTGGGCAGTGATAATAACAATTCGTCTCATAGCTGACCAGACTGGTAACAGTTTTTCACGTATTTTATGAACATACAAAAACCGCTCAAAAAAGAATTGAAATGAAATCTTTTTGTCCGTCGGCTTATCTTTTGTAGATGTTTTGCTGTCAAGACAAACAGATAACAGTGTTAGGTGCAGCATTATCCGTAAGAACTCACTAGTCATTCAGTATATGCATTTCTGGTCATTTATTTCTCTTACAATAAAAAGAAATTTAGTTCATGCTCTGATACTTGTCTACTTGACACTGAGCATTTCGACTTGACGTTCTAAGTCAACCTCGACTAAGTAAGCATATGCCTTGACGACAAGCACTTTAAACGCGTTTATAATATGCAATATGAACTTCAGAAGACATTAAATGGTATACTACTTCAGAGCATGAAATGCATTCGAAGAATGATTGTCGCTGGTCTGAGCTATGTGATGGTGCCAAAGACATTGATGGGTAATGACGCAAGTTTTTGATCTAGTGTATTTTAAGTCAACGGATAGAATAAATAAAAGACAGCTGAGGAATAATGTGGATAGAATAAATACATCCCATATTAGATTAACTTATTTCACATAGCGAAATCTAGTATAGTATTGATTTTTGGATCCAGTTAGGTAGAGACGAATACTACGTGCTTAAGAGACTCAACATCTAGGTGTTTAGTTCCATGTGTGTCTGTTGATAAGGTTTCAAGAGTTGACAACTAGAATCAATTCATCTCTGGTCCCAAATCCTTTTTGTTTCATCTAGCAACCAAACGACCTTCTTTGTCTCTCCTGTCATTGAAGAGCATAAGTCATGTTATTTCTATTTATGTTTTGCTCGACAATAATAATAATAATAGTCAAGATTGGTGATGATTGATGATTGAAGGTGAAATGAAAATCTGAATCGTGGTAAAATTCGAACCAGCGGCCTCTAGGTTACCTAGTTTTTCAAATTACCTTAAATTACCGCTCAGTATCAATAATACAAGTCTGCTAGCCTACGAGTAGCTCAGATACTGATAAATGGTCAGAACGGCAAAGCAGTTGGTATATAAACAAACGGATTCATCCTATAGAATGAAAAGCACAACCATAATATCTAAAAGTCAATTGAATGCTTGTTATTTCGAAGGAAATGAAACGACAATGAATATATGTTACATGGTAAAGATTTGAAAGGTAACAACATGGTAAGAGTTAAAACTTGGGAGCCGAACTAACCGCTGTCTCACTATTTCAATAAGTCACATAAATTTCAAATGTATACCATTTAAAAAAAATGAAATACAACTATAAACAAAGGTGGAGAATTTAACGACTACTCAGCCGTAGTTTTAGAAGTATTGTTTCCTAAACAACCTGAGTTGTCTTTGAGACAATGAATCTAGATCTTACAATGGACAATTTTCAAAATTCAAATCAATTTCTGAGGACTAGTGTAATCTTCTGCTAGTAGATATTTTCCATGATCCATGATTTAAAAATAACCTTATAGAACAAAGATGCCTGTGAAGGCTATTGAACGCCAAGAACCTACAATAGAATTTGTCTCATAATTGATTAATTTGTTGTACAGTTGCTGCTGAGGAGCTCTGGTAGAGTTCATATACCCAATCAGTAGCATGCAGTCACGAATGGACAGTCACATTACTTCAATTTACGATACAAATGATCTTCAGAACTCTAGTTAACCGCATTTTATTCAATATGGGATAAATTTATCATTTCAAATTTTGTTTTACAAACAGTTGAGGGCATTTTCAGAATAGAATGCAGCTAGCGGCACTGAAATAACTTATCCTTGAGGATAGCGAATCATAAGGTTACTGAAATGATGGATCTTTAGGATATAGTCATATTACAGAATGGTTTAATACCAACCATTGTCAAAACGGCAATATAATCATATAAACAGTGAATACTGACACGAAAAAGGCATTTTAAAATTTATTTCGAAATATCAGATTGCAGAAACTTATTTTCATAATACACAGAAATATATATTATCAGTTGGACTATTTGAGATAGCCTTCGTTACTGGGGGACGATTGAAGATGAAGCAAAAGCCTGGGCCATAGGGGGATTCTAACCAGTGACTTCTGTATTTAATACCCACTGTTCTATTCAATGATCCACGAAGTGAAATAAAAATCTGGTCGCAGTCGCGACTAGTAGTTCAGTTGGTATAGAACTGGTTCGGTAACCAGCAGGTCTCTGGTGTGAAACCTGACCCAGCTCAGATTTTCATTTCATCGTCAATCACCATCAAGTAACTAATATTTATGTTTTGAATAGCTGATCTTCAAAACTGTGGGATACGCCACCACCATGCATAAATTCACTCAAAGGAAATTAATTTTATCTATAAAACTCAAGTAATATCATCATTATCGATTGGAATTCTGGAAAATATAATATTATTCATTTCAATACACATGATGACAAATAAATCAGTCCATTATTTGGGTTTTTTTATATCCAATAAGTAACATATATATGAACTTTGCTGTTAATTTACACACACACCTACTTACTTGTCCAATTGTCCATAAACTCCCATTGTGCCATCTATGTTGGCAGCTTTTGTTCCACTGGCCCAGTGTAGTGTATTCATTATGACAGTCTATTGTTAGTAGTATTTACAGTAGTATTATTATTAGGTTTATCAGCGCATATAAATTATAAGAGGTTATATTAAAATAGAAATATGCATGCTTTTTTGAAAACATCACTTCAATTGATAAATTAATTATTTAGTGTATCACATTGATGTTATTAAACAAAAACTTATTTTTAACAATTATTTTTGTTTTAATTGATCATTGAACTTTTTAAATTGTAAGATAATAGTCAGTGTAAGTGAATACATCCATTTTTATTTGATTCTCTTGTCATGCTTGTTGTTTTTCAGGTTTCCAAGTCCTTACAATATCATTCATCTGTTTCGATACATTTTATTTGAGCTGATAAATATACTTTCAGGCAGTTAGTCTTCAAATAATCAATGGGATTATGGAGTAAAAGCTGATTTTTTCATCTTTTTATAAAGCTCATACTTTAGCGTATAATATCAATATGTTTCAAACGTTCTTAAGGAAGAATTTTCAAAGATGATTATGATTGCTTGTTTCAAATGAATAAATGAATTCCAATAAGCTGTACTATTGCTCTATATCCATCGTTGTGAGCACATCTAGAAGACATTCACACGCTTACATAGTAAAATACAAACCTGATCACAAGTAATTCTGTATTTTCACTCGTGGGCTAGACAGACATATGTGTATTTCTAAATACTTGTTTGTGTGCATGTTTGTGTGTGTGCACTTATATTTTATTTCCTGTATGGATTTGGGGAAATATCTGTTTTCTATTTCTCGATAACCAATAAGAATGAAGGCTGTAGACTGAATTACTTTCGCTAGAGGGCTGATATATAACAACAAAAGAGAAGCGAATTACAGTAAAATCATAATTTGTATCTGTCGCTGCGACAGAAGAGATAAATCACCTCAGAAATAGAAAAATAGCTTTCCTTTTGATGTGTCTGATGGTGGCATTTAGTTGTAATAAACTAATATGACTAATAATTATCAAGTGTTTTGTTAGCTGGATGGAGGCAATCCGCAGGGAACCCCTGCTGAAACTGGGTTTCATGCTTTTTGGCTGTCATCAGCAAGGCGTATCTGTGATATCAATAAAGCTTGTGTCCCACCTAGTGCTGTAGTTGTAGACCTAACCATTGAATTATTCGGCCAGCGATTGATTTCCTGTACGAATGGATGAGGTACAGGGACTAGTTAACTTCCAGTGACCAGTCAATGTAAATAAGTGTTTTAGTACAGTAATAATTCATACAGAAGAAGCCTGCAAGGGGGATGACATGAGTTTCAGTAACATACAAATACAGTGTATGCTGCACCTACCTACTATATGTCTCAAATAGTGTCATATCCCATGGCAAATTTTCCAAAACTGCTGGCAGTCAATCAATTCGCCATTTATAAAGCAAACAATGTTGACAAAAGTACACACATGAAATACAAAATGTGACCCCTAATATTCTGGGTGAGTATTATAGTTATATTGTACTGGTGCAGTGTTCTCTGAGCCAGAACTCCAAATCATCAGGCTTTCATTGCCATTCTAGATAACAGCACTTGTGCAAAATCTGGGATTTTCTCTACAAGTGATTTGGTAGCTTGTCCTAATTATTTTGTGTTATTGGTTGTTTCTACAAAAGTCTTGTCATTGTCTGCATATGCATTTTGATTGGTTTTCTTGCTGAGGTGAACTAAAATATAAGCTACAGAAACTGCAAAAAACACTACATGGGAGAGAATGGTCCACGTAAGCATCGATTAGCAGTGATGCTCATATCAGTTTATAGAGATAACTGTGAACACAAATTTGACTGGGAAATCGTGGATACAGAATATATAAATGATGTCACAGAATTTCTAGGGCCTTTGTATCCAGGTCAGTCGGCGATCGACAGACATATTGGTATTAACCTGATCTGCATGACAATAAGAAACATACAAAACAACAAGAAGGTAATAGTTCTTGTTGGCAGGACAGCTAATCGGAGTAATTGTAGCGACGATGACAAACGTTTAGTAGGAACAACAAATAACACTCAAGGTCATTAGGACACAACTAAGCAAAGTATTCAGGAAATCTCACAACTCGCTTCTTTCTGAAGTATATACTGATTGTGTTGCGTAGAATAACAATGAAAGCTCCACGATTAAATCATTTAGCTCAGAGAACACAACACTACCAGAATCATCCTTTAAGCTTTAATTATTCTTCATTATAGTTGTAGTGCCAGTTGGGTTGTTAGTCAACCAGTATGTCTTAAAATGAAATTTGATTTCGAAACATACGAATACTGAACAAATCGAGCGGTTACAAGCCACTCAGGTTAATCTACAGTATTTCGCCAGCCAGATCAGATTCATCTAAACACCTGATTGTCGTTTCGTTCGTTGATAGCCAAACCCACCAGTACCGTTACCGGACAGATTCACCTGATAAAGTTGAACTAGTTCAGATCAGCCTGAGTGGTTCCTAACAACTTAAATTGCCCTGTAGTAGTATCTTTGGCAATTTCATGACACTTTTATGTCAGAGATAACACCTTGTAACCTCAGCTAAGTGGTTTTATTCACAAACCTACCTCTGACACTTTCAACTAACATATTTCACGAGGCAGTCATCACATTGTAGACAGTCAGTTTACGAGGAACTGCTGAGGTATTCACGAGTTTGTATGAACCATAATATATTATAAAACACCACACTGCCATGAAACCTCGCCTGGTTAACTAGTTCACTAGTTACTAGCCGGTCCTAAGCCCCGGTAAAGAGGGAAGGTTGGGCCTAGGGCTAGCAACCCTACCCCGTAAAACAAATCTAACCGCTAAAGAAACTTCAAAGTACAAACGATATATATAAAATAAAAACAAAATTATTCCTCGCTGGAATCGGAGAGGCGAAATGACGCCGATTGGTGAAAGCCTTCTGGAAGCCAATTGGCCGATGTGTCTACTCTCCCTCGATGAAAGCGAAAGTAAACGCGGGAACATGGAATGTCAGCACAATGTTTGAACCTAGCAAGGCAGCCCAGATTGAAAAAGGGATGAAGAAGTATCACATTAACGTGCTTGGAATTTGTGAAAGGAGTTGGAATGGGAGTGGAGTCTCCAAACTGTCAACTGGAGAATCAATAATCTACTGCGGTCACCCAGACGACAACCACGAGGACACTGAGTTATGGAGTGGCTATCATGATGTCCCCTTGAAGAGCATCGAAAGCTCTCATGCAGTGGGAACCAATCTCCTCCTCCAGGATCATGACAGCAAGATTCAACTCAAAAGGAGGAAAGGTCACAATCATACAATGCTACTCTACGCACCTACAAATAATGCAGAGCAAGAGAAAAAGGAGGAATTCTACAGACAACTGCAATCCACACTGGACAAGACCACAACCCAGTTGGCGATATCAAAATTCTAATGGGCGACATGGATGCCAAACTGGGAGCGGACAACACATGAAGAGAACTAACTATGGGCCGAGAAGCACTAGGTGAAATGAACAAGAATGGAGAATTGTTTACAGAATTCTGTGCATTCAACGACTTGTTGATTGGAGGCGAGGCAGTGTGTGCAAACACAAGGATATTCACAAAGCGACATGGATTTCACCAGACACACTAAAAATCAAATCGACTTCATCTCAATCTCAGGAAAATGGAGACGCAGTCTACTTAACACAAGGTGAAGAAGAGGAGCAGATGTAGGTTCAGACCACACAGCATCTAGTGCAAGGAACCTTCCAAATCAAGTTAAAAGCCTTCAAGGAAGCTGGTGATAGACCACAGTTCAAGTACAACACTCATAAACTGAAGGATGAAACTACAAAGGAAATCTCTTCACGGCAGCCATCAAGACAAAATGGGAGATATCGAGGAACATCCCTGAAGAAACCTGTGTGGAAGAACACTGGAAGTCTTTGAAAGCTATGTGGAAAGAAACCTGCACAACAGTATTAGGAAGGAAGAAGAAAGAAGACAAGGAATGGATCTCGACGGATACCTGGAAGCTGATAGAGGAGAGGAGGATGGTGAAGCAGAAGATAAACCAGTGCAAGGATGCTCAACGACAAGAGGAACTGAGCACAATGTATAAAACACTGGACAAAGAAGTGAAGAAGAGTGCACGCAAAGACAAAAGACACTTCTACGAAACACTGGCAAGTGAAGCAGAACAGGCTGCCGGCTGATAAGAGAGACCTGACGACATTGTATCAAATAACCAAGTTGCTATCAGGGAAGAGACCAACACAGATGAAACCAATAAAAGATGAAGAAGGAAATTTAATTACAAAAGAAGAGAAACAGAGGAAACGATGGGCCGACCACTTCAAGAAGCTCTTCAATCGACCACCACCACCACCTGCACTTCGTCTACAAATATCACCTGCAGCCGCTGAATTACAATTGAACATAAATCCCCCAACGAAAATGGAAGTCCTGAACGCCATAAAGCTACTGAAATGCGGGAAAGCAGCAGGACCAGATGGGATCCCGCCAGAAGCACTGAGAACAGATGCAGAGACAACAGCGGACATGCTCATACCACTATTGCAGAAGGTGTGGAGGGAAGAGAAGGTACCTGACGATTGGAAGAAGGGTTAACTTGTCAAACTGCCGAAGAAGGGAGACCTCAGTGCTTGCAAGAACTGGCGAGGAATCACTCTCCTATCCACCCCAAGTAAAATATTAAGCCGCATCATCCTGGAGAGGCTTAAAGATGCACTGGATTCAAAACTGCGACCGGAACAGGCTGGCTTCAGGAAGTACGAATCATGTGCAGACCAAATTGCAACGCTTCGTATCATCATAGAACAGAGCATAGAATGGCAATCAGCTCTCTACCTCAACTTCATCGACTTTGGGAAGGCCTTTGACAGCGTCGACCGAGAAGTAATTTGGAAACTGCTTCACTACTACGGAGTACCGCAAACCTTTATCCGCCTCATTCAACAACTATATGAAGATGCCACATGCCAAGTAATTCACAATGGGAAGCTCAGTGATGCTTTTGAAGTGAAGACAGGAGTGAAACAAGGTTGCCTACTATCCCCCATGATATTCCTTATTGTGGTGGACTGGATCATGCAGCAAACAGTAGGCAGCGAGAAGAAGGGAATACGCTGGACGGCGGAAAAGAACCTAGAAGACTTGGATTTCGCCGATGACTTATGCCTAATGTCACATAAACTTGAAGATCTGCAGGTAAAAACTAACAAGTTGACAGAAGAGGCAGCGAAGGTGGGACTTCAGGTGAATATAGAGAAGACAGAAGTGATGAAGATACCGCACCACCACCATCATCAACAACAACAAACTCCAGTCACCATCAACGGGAGAAACTTAAAGGAAGTAACCTCCTTCACTTATCTAGGAAGCACTGTTTCAACTACAGGCGGGACGGACGAGGACGTCAAAGTCAGAATCGGAAAAGCAAGACAGGCGTTCATCAGCCTGAAACCAGTGTGGAGATCTTCTGCATTGCACTCAGCATGTGGAACAACATCCGGATTTTCAACACCAACGTCAAGTCAGTGCTCTTGTATGGCTCAGAGACTTGGCGCGTCACGAAACGGATTTCCAATAAACTACAGACATTCATCAACAACTGCTTACGCTGGCTCGCTA